TGTGTTCTCCAACACAACTCTCACAACGCTTCTCTGAATGCACTCGCTCTCCCAATGGGGAGCTTACATAACAAGGACATTTAATATACAGCATGGTTGTACTATATTGCTCTACTCAGCAACCACTTGTAAAAACAACAAATTTGATTACAATTTAGTCATACTTAGAGCACATCCATTGAAATCACTGGGAATTAAATTACATGAAAATAATGTGACTATATTTGGTCCATTCAAGATTTGGATTGCCAGTGCTTATGTACCTATTCACTTTTGAGTGATTCATTTCTTTTGTTAGAAGGCACTAAAATGTGGTATGTTGTTTTTCTATTCTAGAAATGTACGTATTGGTTTTATACAATTTTCTTGGTATCAACTAGAATCCACATCCCAAGAGCCCAAGGCAAAGTCGGGATCTTTGAATGACACCATTACCTGGTTTCTGAACATTTGGAAATGAATTTATCCTATCTGACATTGATTCTAAAATTTAGGATTCTATGATCCTAACAGAATGTAAGGAGCTATATAGCACAAAGAGTACAATGGGATTTGATATGGGAGAAGATTTCAGATATATTATGAACTCATCTTCAGGAAGATGGTCCAGTCAGTTCACCTATACATTTCTCCTCCTGAAATGAAATTAATACGATCAACTTGTACAGGATTCTTCCCATTTCTCTAATATTTTAGGGTTCCTTAAGTTCTTATCTGTATAAAATATGTTTATTGTACAATGTGTTTCATTTTTTTGTAATTTGTTTTAAAATTTATGGATTTGGGACATATTCATCATGAGTACAGAATTCAATAATAATAATCCTAGCCTATACACAAAAGTATCATAGCATAGACTTGATAAAAGGAAAAAAATCAATATCCATGTAGCGGAGTGTTTGGGTAAATAAACACTGCACTCAACAAACACTATAGGTCAAAATATAGGAAGACCCGAATAAGCCTCCACAAATTGTGCTTTTGTGCAATTCCACAATCCTCAATTTAACCTATCCATTTTTTGACAAAATTAAACTGAAGATAATATTCCCTAAATTACGAGAAAAAACAGCTTTCTGTGATATGTCCACATACAGATTACTGATATCCTGTATATGTCAATTCAGAAGTAAATCCCCTTGAGTTCAATGGATCATAATCCCATGGATATTGGTATTGGGTGATTATATGCTTCTTATCTCTTCCCTGGGGTGATTGTCTCACTCTGACTAAGGGTCAGACTAATACTGATTTTACTCTATCAAATTTGAAAGACCAGGAAGCTGAAAACAGAGGCCAAAAGTGCCTCTGTTAGCCATTACACTACCTCTCTCATCCTTGGTACACAAAAGAAAAATGAAACAGTGGCCTCTCCCAACTGTCTTCCCATTTTCAGTGATCCATCCAAAAGATTAAGAAGAAATTAGATGTGATGATGATTAATTGGTTGCATCAAATCAGCTAAAGCTGAATTTTGGAGGCTGGATGTCATGATTGCACTTGAAAAGTGAACATATACATAGTGTTTTCCTGATTTTCACTGCAAGCTTAAAGAAACCATTGCAAATTTTCTGTTCATAAAAGAAAAGTCATTTTCTCTCTCTCCCTTCGTTGTATACAACATCTGCAGTAATTTATCAACAATAACATTTTCCTTGCTCAACTGATGCTTCCACAATTACATTATAAAGCTTTCTCAATCAATAAGGCAGACACGGAATACAGTTCTGATTTCAGCTTAGCAATACTGCTTTGGTTGGTCCTTGGAGATAAAAATCACTTTGATAAGGGGAGCTAATTTCTAGAGATGTCTTCATTCACACGTTCACAGACCATGGTTTGAAAGTTCCTGGTTTGGCAGGTGGACACTAAAAAGAAAAAAAATGGGATGAGAACAAATTCTAGATGTTTCAATTTTTTGCATTTCCAGGTAGGGCTGAAAATAGGTTCTGCTTGAAGTCCCGAAGTCCTGAATCAATAATACTGGACTTCATGGGTCAAGAGTCATTTTTAAGGATTTTAATTTTGTTTTCTCTTAATAATTTCTGCAGCTATCTTGAATTCAATTCATCAATGGTAAAACTTTTTTTAAAAAGTTGGACTAACAATTGCATACATTTAGGAATACATTTCTCCAAACATATGCAGCTTTGTTTGCAATTGTAACCAATGTTTAAAGTTTTGCAAATAATTTTGGTAATAAAATATATTGTGGTGCATTATATTCATTAATATCTGTATTTTGATGTTCTTAATGTCCTTGATTGCATTAACAAAGGTCTGAAAGACTCTTATTTTAGAAAAAGTGTACTTTAGTGTATTTAGCTAAAAGACTAAGGTTCAAGTCAGAAATCTTTGTTCAAATCTTGCTTTTCCCATGAACTTGCAACGAGATCTATTTTGCCATGAAGATTTCAAGATTATACATTTTAAATCCTTGAAAAGCACCATAAAATTGCTAAATGTTGTGATTACCAAGTGCTCAGGAAAGCCTCTGCCAATGGAAAGCTGGGTCCCGGTTTGTGTTGATCTAATGCTTAATGAATTATACTTGCAGAAGAGAATAGTAGATAAACTAACTTACCAATTTGGTGAAGCGATCAACACAAGCATTGCGTATTCTTTCTGGAGTAGCTGGACTATCTAATCTGAATGTTCCTTTCAATTCACATTCTTCCCTTGCAGAGAAAATTGCATCTTTGATAGCATAAAATACAGAGGCTGCTAAGAACAACGGAGGTTCACCCACAGCCTGTGGAGATGAAAGGACAAAAGGCCATGCAATCGTCCATCAAAAAAGTATTCTCAGCATATAATAAGATACACATATCACATATCATGGACTGAGTCACAATTTCACGGGACCACATACTGTGGAATTACTAGGTATGGTAATAGAAAAATGTATCATTTATGCATAATTTGTATGTTATATTCCCCATTATGCTCTCTTATATGTGTTCTCACCTAGCTTCCCAAGAGCATGAAGTAAACTCCTTGTCCTGACAAAAAACCCTTTTATTAATTGACTGTGAATTCTGCTCATTCACATCCAGCAAAGTCTTTCAAGGGAGGATTTACAGTCACAGACCTTATCTGGCTTGGAGAGCTGACAGGCCAATATCTGCAAAACTTGGCAAGGAGTCTCAGAGAGTCACGAACCAATTAAGCAAACTAATTGTCTCCTGCAAATTCCACTTTCCTTTCGCTTCTCTTTTATTACCTCTGGGAGGGACCATTCATCATCTACCTGTGGCCTTACTCCCAACTCGACCCCTGTTCTTTAGCTGTTCCCCTTCATCTGTCACTTCTGTGCATGTGCATACTGGGAACAGGCTCCAGCTGTTCATCTGCCTCACTGATGTCTGACTCTGAAGACAGCTGATAAGTAGCATATGGCTCTGGCCCCCTTCTGTCTCCAACACAGAACTCTCATCAGAGCCTTTCCCAGACTCCAGGACTGGCCCATATGCCTCCCCAACCTCCTCACTATTCAAATCTGCTGCCAACTTAGCTGGCCACTGGTGGGCTACAACAATATGATATCATCATCTAACTTGTGGATATATTCTTTTTATAGTCAACTAATAAGCACAATCTAGTAGTGTGGATTTGGTGAAGAAAATGGTATTGAAGGAGTAGGACTCAAGGCAGCACTTCCTTCTTTCGATTCTTTTCCTTTCACCCAGGGTTTAGTGCTGAACATTAGTCCTGTTCAAGTTTTTGTTCATGTCGTAAGAAGAATCATGTGAGAATAAATAATCATCAATTCATTCCCCTCCCATGACAATGCTATAGTCTGAATCTAATGTCTTCCATCCATATGTTATACTGTATATATTGGGAGGTATGTGTCTGTAGAAGAAAGTCTGCTTTACACATATAGACTCCAATTCTGATTATTCATGGAGCTACATTTCCTGGGAACATAGACTACTATAGCAAATTCTCTGCTTTCAAGATTTTTTTCACAACACATAATGAATCAACACAATCGAATAACTGCAATATGATGGAGGGGAAAATGAGTCCACTTTCACTTTTACAGACTCCCAATTGTGTAGGAAGAAGACAGATATATCTATCTGTTAGGGAATAACACTCTGTACCTCCAGGACCAATAAGCAGTGACATTTTTGATCTTGTATAATGTTTAATTCAGGGTGTCAAACTCGCATCATCACATCATCGTCATGTGACGTATCACTTATGATTAGTGACCCTTCACTAAACCAGGGTGAGCGTGGCCAGTGTGTGATACATCCAGCCTGCAAGCCACAAGTTTGACACCCCTGGTTTAATTAGAAAAATTAGATTTGTAAAACACATTAGGCTAAGCTAAGCTCAAATGGAATTGTATGTGATTCAGCATGTTATTTGACCCTGATCATAT